CTCTCTCAAGCTCTCTTTTTGGAGTTGTTCCACTTTATATGGTGTGACGAAGTTCCTCCTCTACCTTGGTGGATCTTGTGCTTAGTGGTGGATTTGCTCACCTTGGAGCTTTCTCGGCAGCCCTCAGCTTGGCCGTTTTTCTGACCAAAGTCCAGGTTGACTCCTCCTATGTCTGACCAGGAGTTGGGAGGATTTGGGGGGAACCCGGGCCCGCCCTCTACTCCGGGTTCCAGCCCAGGGCCCTGTGGAATGCAGCTGTCTACAGTGCCCCCTAGAACAGCTGGGTGACAGCTACAACTCCCTGGGCTACTTCCCCATGGCCTCCTCCCAACACCTTCTTTATTCTCACCATAGGACCTTCCTCCTGGTGTCTGATAATGCTTGTACTCCTCAGTCCTCCAACAATCCGCGTTTTCACTCTCAGCTCCTAGCGTCTCTTGCTCCCAGCTCCTCACACGTGCACCACAAACTGAAGTGAGCTCCTTTTTAAATCTAGGTGCCCTGATTAGCCTGCCTTAATTGATTCTAGCAGCTTCTTGATTGGCTGCAGGTGTTCTAATCATCCTGTCTGTCTTAATGGTCTCCAGAAGGTTCCTGATTGTTCTGGAAACTTCCCTGTTACCTTACCCAAGGAAAAGGGACCTACTTAACCTGGGGCTAATATATCTGCCTTCTATTAATCTCCTATAGCCATCTGGCCCGACCCTGTCACAATGGCTAATTAAATATTCATTGGAGCAGGGACACAAACCTGGGTCTCCCATATGAGTGACCTAACTGCTTGGACTACAGAATCAGTCTCCCTCTCTTTGATGCTCCCTCTCTCTCATTCCTGTGAAAAAGTTGCTGATGTAAATGACTGCCCTGGACCTTTAAGCGGGGTGAAGGTGGTGTTTGGCTGGCTGAAGGGAACAGTGCTGAATGGTTGGGGGGGATGGGGGTAGGGGAGGAGATGAAAACTACTGCAAAAAGGGGTCAGCGTGGTCGCTGACTCATCCCCTAGGAATGCAGGGTTAAAAGGGGCCAGCTCTGCATCTGAAGCCTCCCTTTTTACACAAACCAAGGCTGGGTGTTTGCATCCTGGTGGCCTAGGGTGGATTCTCGTCATCTCATCATGGTTTACATGCTCAGGGATCTCGTGCAAATCCTTATGTCAGAGTGGACAGGAAGCAGCCTTGCTCGGGGCAGTATTCTTGACAGCAATTTTTGGTGCTTTCAGGGTCAGTGAGCTAGCACCTGGGGTTGGTAGGGACTCTATGGGAAGGGCTTTGGAACTGCGTGATATACAATGGCATGAGCATTCAGTGATATTACACTTGTGAAGGTCAAAGACGAATCAAGTAGGCCGGGGTGAACCTGTTATCCTCTGAGAGGATGGTGAGCTGGGGGTCTGCCCCATTCAGACTTTGAAGGCCTACAGAGTGATACAGCCAAAAATGGAAGTCCCCCTTTTTTATGCACGGTGACAGCATATCAATTTGTTACAGTGTTGAGATGGGGGCTGATGAGGTTGGGGGTGGCCAGTCACGAATTTGGTCCCACTCACTCAGAATCGGGGCAGCGTTAATTTATCGTAATCTCATTACAGATGTTGGACAACAGGCCATGCAGATAGTGGTGTGGATCTGCACATACAGTGTTGTCTTTTGGGTGCGTAGGCACTCGTCCAGGTAGCCTGAGGGTTTGCAGCTGGGATTTGGTGGTGAAGCAGTTCTCGGTTGGCATGCAAGGAGGGGCATGCTATGGGATCAACTAACATCGCTGCTGTATGCTGTGTGGGCCTGTCAGCAGGCACCAGATATAACTATGGTGCTTTTTGGGGAAAACAATCTGGAAACACTAAAAGGGGTGGAACTAATGCTCAGAGCACAAAGGGACTTGGGGCTGATCCTTGAACTTTTTCCAGGAGTTAACATTGTTTGGTCAGACATGCTTCAGCAGGGACATGGTGGATAAGGCAAGGAGGTATGTGAGCAGGGAGATGGCCAAATTCCATGGGACCATAGGGGCAGTAATTTCACATCCTGGCATAATATAGGGGCAGCAGAGTTGTTTCGTAAGGATGGGGTTCACCTGTCTGACTTAGTTGCTGTCATATTTTTAACTGCTATAAAAGACAGCATTAGGAGATGTCTGGGAACCCGACTGGGTGTGAGGAGGAGGCAGCCAATCTAATTGCTGGTGCCTCCTTGTGGCGGATGTCTAGTGCAGGTACTCCATAGGAAAGGTATACAGTGACTGGATAAACGGCTTGGAAAAGGATTTAAAAAGTGGTGTTCATTAAAGGAAAAATGGGGCGCAGTTGGGAACTCCTATGATTGGTACAGCAGGGAGCCAACCCCCCATTCTTATAGCCCACCTTAACCCTCATAGGAGGTGGGGGTTGGATGGTAAGGTCCCAGCAATGGATTTGCTGGAGGGACCAGGAGAGAAAAAGAGGGGGAGCTGGTAAAAGTCCCCTGGGTAATTATGGAATAACCATCGGGTTACCTGCACTGTACACTGTTATCTGCCAGGTCGCCCCAAACATCTGATAATAAAATTGCGGCTTGATTAAACCCATGACAAATGTCTCCTGTCCTTCTTTTGGCATAGCCAGACAAAAAGTTTTGTCAGAAAATTCCTAACCAGCTCTAAGTACAATAAATGGACTCTGCACTGAGACATCTGCACAACCAGGCAAGAATTTCTGGCAATTTTTTAGCTCAGTTATTGTAGCAAACAAGTTTCTTCACAAAATCTAAATAGATGCAAAACAAGATGTGGTGCCTAGTAGTGATGCATGTGTGTGTCAAACAGCACTGGAGAATTTGTTTAGGAGAAGTTCATATCTGTTCAGAGAAGCCCTCCCCCCTTCCCCACTCCAATACTGCTGCAAGGTTCAGAAGCTCAGGTAATAAAAGCTTTGTGACAGCCAGCCATGAAATTCAAAGTTGCTTGAGGCTGCTATATATTACATACTTGACATTTAAGAACATTTGTGCATTTTTCCTTCATGAATTTTGGGTTTTTGCTTGATTATTCCCTTTATCCTGGTTTCCCTACTCCACTTTTTAGGTTGTACTATATATCCCCTAACCGTGCACCCAATACTGTAACACTGCTGATGATTCACATGTTTAATTTTGGTATATCTTGCATACAAATGAAACACAGATAGGCAGGGGTAGAGGTGTGTGTGAGTGAATGAGTGAGAGAGAGAGAAATTCCATTGTGAATTTTTTTAAAAAATGGTGCAATAAAATCCTATGTTTTCATGACAAGTGCTTCCTTTTTAATCTATTGAAATTTAGCATTTTTTTTTTCATTTACAAAGGTTTAATACTTGAAAGATCAGACCTTCTGGGTTAACGATTTGAAGTTCACCTAAATAAGTATTGGTAACAGGCCATGCAACAAAGTATGTAACTTTTTGTTATGTATGATATTTGCTGTGTAACCATGAAAAGTTTCAACTGAGTTATAATGAGAAGATCAACTTTATTCCGTTCTAAATTTTATTTTTTTGTTAGTTACTATATTAAATCAAGTCATCTTTCTGAAGGCACATTCTTTGTAATGGTCTTACAGTACAGAGATGTTTTTAGTGTAAGACATAGTGAGCCCCCACTATGCATAGTATTTAATGACTTGGTTCAAAATGCTTATTTGTGGTTGTAAATGTAGGGATGAATCAAAGTGTGGTTAGCTGCTCAAATGCATTCCTGAAGAATTAGAAAGCAGACTGAAATGTAGGATACCTTAGAAGGAAGGCAATACTGACAATTAAAGATATTTTATTTCTGCTTCATTTAAAATCAAAAACACTAGGTAAAATTGCATTTTGACTATTTTAAAACAATAAAATAAAAATATAATATAATAAATGTTGAATATTTAACTCCAAAACAGTTAAAAACATATTATAGATTTTAGGTCAACCTCTAAAATATATGCAACTCTTTCAAGAATACAAAAGAGCCATCATTTACATAAGAACGTGACTTACTTTCACAGTTTCTTTATCTTCTATTTTATTTAGAGTGATATTGCCATACAAGGCATAATACTGAAACCTGACTTCTCCAAATTTACAGATATATGGGTAAAATTTTCAAAAGTGCCTAAGTAACTTCAGAAATCAAGTCCCATTTTCTAAAATGACTTAGGCATTTAGGACCAAAATGATGCCTAACGATGCAGATAGGCAACTTCTGGGAATTTCAAAAGTGACGAAGGCTTTGTCTACACTAGCACTTTTGTTAGCAAAACTTTTGTCGGTTGCGGTGTGAAAAAAAACGCACACCAGACAACAAGTTTCACAGCCAAAAACGCTGATGTGGACAGCGCTATGTTGGCAGGAGACACTCTCCTGCCGACATAGCTACCACCACTCATTGGGGGTGGCTTAATTATTCCAGTGGAAGAGTTCTCTCCCACCAGCACAGAGCGGCTACACAGGAGACTTTACAGTGACACAGCTGCAGCTATACAGCTGTGCCGCTGTAAGGTTTGTAGTGTAGACATAGCCTATGTGTCTAACTCCCATTAAAATAAATGGAAGTTAGATGACTAGGTGCTTTTGAAAATCCCGCTAAGCACTTGTCTTAATCTTTAAGTGCCTAAATACCGTTTAAAAACTGGTCCTTAAACATCCTAAGTCCTATTGACTTTCAATGAGACTTAGACTCCTAAGTCATTTAACTACTTTTTAAAATTTTACTGATAGACAATTATTTTCAAGAAACACACCTAAATAAGTGACCCCATGGGGAGATGATGGATGCTAAGCACCCCTGAAAATTAGGTACTTACTTAGCTGCCTAAATACGGATAATGGTGCCCAAATTTAGGCACCCAGGCTTGAATATAAGGGCCACCACATTTTTTGTTTACTGAAGTAAATGCATGCCTATGTATTGAACACAAATCATCTATGTTTTATTCTGTGATTCTGTATAGCCCAGGATATTTTCGTTTTCACATTTTTTTCTGTGATGGAGTGGGAATGTCTTACTTACCATCATTCCGCAGGGTAAGTGGTGTTGGAGGACTCAGAACTCTGGCATTTGTCACTGTGTTTTTTACTAGGCAGATATAGCTGCCAACATCAGATGTTTGCACCTTGGAGATGTAGAGATTTCCGGTCTCCTGGGAGATGAAGCGTCTGCTATCTTCTGCCACGAAAGATGGGAATTCGTTAAATACCCAACTGTAGATTATCTCTGAAAAAAATACAAAAATAAAGCATTGTTTATGGAAAAATACAGTGAGTGTTAGGAATGAACAAACTCAGAATGTTTGTTTTGAATAATTCCACAAAGTCTGGAACTGAAGCTTTTTCAAACCTCAAATCTGGAACTCTTAAGACCTTTTTCACTAAGATTTTTGCTAAATTCTAGTTTAGGAAATTACATCAAAGATGGCGAAGAGTTTGACTGGACTCCCCCATGAGATGTCTTCAGTTGACAGAGAGAAAAATCATTAAATTCCTCAACAGAATCCACAAAAAATCAGAAAAAATATCACATTGGTCCCAGTCTGCACCCTATCAGTCAGGCTAGAACTAATACAAGAATATTCATTCATTCATTCATTAGTTCATTCATTCTTTCAAATTTGTAGTAAACTACAGCAAAAGAGCTCACAGGGCTGGCTGAAATTTTTCCATGGAAACTGTTCGTTGACTAAACTAATTAATTTTGAATTTAAAAAAGCAAACAAAATTGGAAATATTTTGACTGAAAACCAAAATATTTCACTTTGCATATGCTGCTGCAGTGCCTCATGGGAGATGTAATTTGGTCACCCCATTCTCCTATTCTCCTCCGTAGTTTGGGCTCACTGACTGGAGCACATCTCCCATGGTACACTATGGCCAGGGACTCCCTGTGATGCACTGCTCCCCTTCTCCAAGAGAAGTGACCGTTGTGAATCTTGGGAGAGGTAGTCTGTCCACGGACCCCAACCTATAGAGAATGGAAACATGAGGAACACAAACTATACACCTATGAGGCATTGCAGCAGCATTTCCAAATCAAAATGTTTCTTTGGTAATTTTTGTTCTTGTTTTAATTTTCATGGAAAAAACACCATTTTCTGTACCCATTTTCCAACTAGCTCTACATCAAATTCTCTAGAAGCCTGGCCCATATTATAAAAAAATACATTAATAGATAAGCATAATAATACAAATAGTCTCTCTGCACTGTATTTACTATTGTAAGGGGTGAATGTATCATGAAATGGGGATCAAATCCTCTAAAACTTCAGGCTACCCCTGGAGAGACTTCCCCTTCCCCTAAAACCTTTCTCACATTTCTTTTCTCCTCTCTCTAGATTGACCTTTCCATTTCTCCCACACCTGAGTAATGTTCAACAAGGACAAGTGCAGAGTCCTGCACTTAGGACAGAAGAATCCCATGCACTGCTACAGACTAAGAACCGAATAGCTCGGCAGCAGTTCTGCAGAAAAGGACCTAGGGGTTACAGTGGACGAGAAGCTGGATATGAATCAACAGTGTGCCCTTGTTGCCAAGAAGGCCAATGGCATTTTGGGATGTATAGGTAGGGGCATTGCCAGCAGATTGAGGGACATGATCGTTCCCCTCTATTCGACATTGGTGAGGCCTCATCTGGAGTACTGTGTCCAGTTTTGGACCCCATGCTATAAGAAGGATGTGGAAAAATTGGAATGAGTCCAGCGGAGAGCAACAAAAATGATTAGGGGTCTGGAACACATGACTTATGAGGAGAGGCTGAGGGAACTGGGATTGCTTAGTCTGTGGAAGAGAAGAATGAGGGGGGATTTGATAGCTGCTTTCAACTACCTGAAAGGGGGTTCCAAAGAGGATGGCTCTAGACTGTTCTCAGTGGTAGCAGATGACAAAACAAGGAGTAATGGTCTCAAGTTGCAGTGACGAGGTTTAGGTTGGATATTAGGAAAAACTTTTTCACTAGGAGGGTGGTGAAACACTGGAATGCGTTATCTAGGGAGGTGGTGGAATCTCCTTTCTTAGATATTTTTAAGGTCAGGCTTGACAAAGCCCTGGCTGGGATGATGTATTTGGGGATTGGTCCTGCTTTGAGCAGGGGGCTGGACTAGATGACCTCCTGAGGTCCCTTCCAACCCTGATATTCTATGATTCTATGAATGTTCTCAAGACCCCAATGTCATGAACCCTTGAGTCCTAATGTACATTATGGTACACCACTATCTTGCAAGATTAGTATCCAAAAGTTGGTCCAGACCACCCCATCTGCCCTCAGATGTGACCTGCACTTCCACTTGGTCTCCTGCCCCTGTTTTACTGAGGAATCTGGGAACCCTTCCAACCATGAGGCTCAAATCCCAAGGGGACAAAATCCTGCCTTAATCTGTCCCTATATAATTTGGTTCCTGGCAAACCTGGCAGCTCAGAGGTCTCTCAAAATGATAAAGAAAAAGTGTTAATCAAAATTTAAGGGTGGGCTTCTTAATCTTATCTTCTTATTTATCCCAAGAAAATGTGTGATTTTCTCTTTAGACACCAAATAATCAATTGTAGGGGAAAAATACATCAAGTGTTACAGAGAGAATTTTTTAAGGATGCCAACCATCCAGGATTGTCCTGGAGTCTCCAGGAATCAAAGATTAATCTTTAATTAAAGATTATATCATGATGAAATCTCCAGGAATACATCTAACCAAAAAATTGGCAGCCCTAGAATGTTTATATATATATATATTGTGGTGATTCAGGGAATCTGTCTATGTACAATTTACAAATTCTTGTGTATACTGGGGACTCTTTATATGTATTTGTGCCAGACTGCAAACTTTTAAAATGTAAAGCCTGTTTGTGTTCTTGTCTTTTGCCACCATATTGAGCTAAAACTCAGTGCTAGCAAAGTGCTAACTGTGCTAACAAAAGAGTACAATTAAATTTTGATGATCATCCATTTAAACATAGCACACGTGGACAAAGAGATATCTGCTGTGCTGGGCAAACCTGTTTTCCAAGTCTGAACTCCAGGGGGTGGGGGTGGGGGAGAAGCAACAGGCCATCATTGGTTGGGGCAATCTGATCATTTTATCAGGGAGTCACATGACAAGGGGGAACTCAGTGGGACTCACAAAGGAGGCTTGGGCAGGAGAGAGGAACAGAAGGACATGCTATGGTAGCAAAGGGGTCCTTTTTAACAGCAGGACCAGCCTCCCTGTAGAGGGGAGAGAGAGAGAGAGAGACAGAGAGAGAAGCTCCTTGTATATTAGCTTCCACTATCACCTGTCCCTGAAGAGGGGAACTGTAAATCCAGAGCACTCCACAAGGTTGGAGCTCTGGGAGAGGGTTAAACTACAAGAGAGTCTGGGGCTCAGCACTGGTCCAGAGGTTTATGGGAGTTGGATGCAAGGTCCCATTTATGCAAAGAAGTAACAGACAGAGAGCCTGGGCTACGAAGCGTGCTAGGCAGGCCAAGGAAAGAGATAGTGCTGCAGCCTACTCAGACCAAGGGAAGTTTAAAATCACACAGGCCCAGTGTGTGAGGCCAAAACACAGCAGCCGGGTGAGTGTCCTCCTGGGGGAGCTTTTACAGAGCCGTCTCACACACACACACACACTAAATAAAAGGCGTCCTGCATAAGTAAAACTCTCACTGAGGTCGATGGGATTCTCACTCATTAAGTCTCCTCCACATTTGCTTTTGGATTCTGCCAGTTCTGACTTAGAAGACATAAATTCTTCTCTATTTTTATCCATGATATTTCTTTCCTCTCTTCCATTATATCATCCTCTTGTCCCACTTCTTTGATTATTCTTCCCTGCTGAACTTGACACACCAATAACACTTCTAGGGCATTTTCTTGCTGCTGTCTTCCTCATGACAGTCTTGTCAGGATTGACTCTAAATACAGAAATGTCAAGGCTATCTCAGTAATATAAAGTCACTGCCTCTGCTCCAAGATATAAACTGCTTCACTGTACAGCGAGTTCCAGGCTTTCAGCCACAAATTGCCTGAGCTACAGTTATCAGACATAGCAGAAGTATGAAGTCAGTAATCAACATGTATCAAGCTAGTCCTATCATAGGTCTTTTCACTGTGCTAAAAAATGTCTCATTGCCCATGAATGTATTAAGGAGGAGGTTGGAGAATGGGTGGGTCAAAAGCTTTAGAAGAAGCACCCTAAAATTTCAAAAGGTCTATATTTTCCTTGAGCCTTTCCTTCTCAAGATAAGTGATAAAGTAGCATAGCTATGAATCCCATACACTGTTCTGCTGTGCCAAAAGTGTGAGATGTTTTACTGCATCAGCTAAATTTATACCATTGCCAGGGATGCACTACTGAATTCAGCTATGTGGAGAAATCCCAGTTATTGGGTAGGATGGATCCCTACCCTGGAGGAAAGGGAGTCATGGTCTCCCTGGAAATGGAAAAGCAGGATGGCCAGTCAATCAACCAAATACATGTAGGCCATTTTGGAATAGAACTTGAAGAAGGGGAATGCAGCCATAGAGTAAGATGGAAATTGTGATATTGAGGTGAAGGACAAAATGTGAATTGTTGGAGCCTCTCATCACTTAACAGACAAAGGACTGGGAGGGGACGAGTGTGGATAGTATTACTTTGCAAACCTCGACCTGGAGGCACACATTGCAGATCCTTTTTTTAAAAAAAAACTCCACTTGCCCATGGCTGGCTATGCCTATGATGTCAAACATTTGACAATATACCGAAACTTATGATACCAACAGGATATGAAATGCAACCAGAGTATGCCAAAAGTCCTATACTTTATTTTCTTGATATATACATAGTACATTAAAAATGTTAAAGTAATTTAGGTTGCAAAGTCAAAGTCATGCACATGAAAGGTTGGGATCCCTGGACAGACGACCTCTCCCAAGATGGAAACAGTGCATCACAGTATCATCTGCCTAATGGCCTAATTAGTCTCTTAGTGCTCCTCAACCCATCAATTAGGCATAGTTCTTCTTAATGGGGTCTGCTCTGGATAATTAGAGTTGCAGTGACCAGAGTGCTGCCTGTATAATCTTAATTTTGTCTCCTTGTATGTCTAACGTGCACTAATAAGACAGAGGTCCTGAAGAAAAAATAACAAGCGATCATGTAATTAAATATGGTATCAGCATACATATGCACCAGGGGGTCCCAATTAAATTTGCACAGGTAGCCATAGGTCTGGATTTCCTAACTTTTGATTGTTTGACTTTGCAACCATA